CAGGGCAGGGCAGGGCAGGGCAGGGCAGGGCAGGGCAGGGCAGGGCAGGGCAGGGCAGGGCAGGGCAGGGCAGGGCAGGGCATGGGCATGGGCGTCGTCTCCCACGGCGGCCTGGCGGTGCAGCGGCGGCGGCGGCGGCGACGGCGCAGACGGTGCAGACGACGTCATGGCGCCCAGCGGTGCCTACCACTACTGCCGTCACAACTCCCAGCGCCCTAACCTCATGCTCATGCTCATGCTCGCATTTGGCCTGCACCAGTGCGAGTGCCTGTGCGACAGCGCCTGTGCTTGTCCGCGCCCTTCTCTCAAGAAGTGCCACGCCGCCCGCCGCCCGCCGCCGCCATTGCTTGCTGCTGCTGCTGCCGCTGCCGCTGCCTCTGCTCTGCCCTGCTCTGCTCTGCTCTGCCCTGCCCTGCCTGCTCTGCATCTGCCTCTGCCTCCTGCCCTTCTCTCCTGCCCCAGCTCTGCTCCTACCACCGCTGCGATCCACTGCTCCTCCACCCAGCCCGCTCCTTGCCTACCAACGCGTACCACCATCACCACCCCCCCAGCCGTGCAATTCCTGGCAACACTGCTTCGGCCACCACGACGCTAATTGACCGCTTCGAATCATCCGCCCTCATCCTTGCCGATCAACACAGCAAACCAAGGGCGTGCGCCGCTGCCACGAGAAGACCGCTCGCACGCCATAGCACCCGAGCACAGAGCCTGCCACTGCAGAGACTGCACTCTCCCACTGCGACACCATCACCGCGCCCGCCACTGCTGCTGTGTGACGGCGGGAACCAAAGCACAAAAAATAAAAATAACCCACCAGCGACAGACGACCAAAAAAAAAAGGCCCCCTCCCCACCACACGTCGACGCACCCCGGCCTGTCACTGCCTGCGCCCAAGCACCATCACGAGGCGGGTGCAGTCATACGTAGTACGCAGATTGATCAATTGCACCGCGCGCTATCGAGCGAGCATTTTGCCGCCCGCCGCCACGACGACATCGACGCACCACACACACAGCATCGCTGCGCGCTCGGAACACCAACCCTGTCGCTGCCAGGCCACGCTACCATCGCAGGGATTGTCGTCTCGGGAGACCCTGAGGCATCATCGGGTTTAGCTTCTGACCAGGGCTCCACCCACTCCTAGCATCCTTCCACATCAACCGTGTGGCTCCTCAGCCTTGGCTTGAACCCACACACGGCATCCTCTTGCCGACACTCGCCCACCTGGCTCCATTCCCTAAACCTACTCTCGGAGAGCCGCACTGTACTGTCTCGTGCAATGAACCCGCACATTTCAGTCTCCTCCTACCCGCCGCCTACTTGTACGCCCGACGACCGCCGACTGTCCTATCCCGACAACATGTCGACTTCCTCCTCCAACTCGTCCGTCAGCGACAAGGACATGGCTACCGACCCCACCCTCCAACCGCGGCCCCGTCTCGGCAGCAGGAAGTCGAGTGGCACCATTATAATACCCCGCGACAGCCCCAATGTCGAGATGAAGGAGGAGGAGGAGGAGTACGACGACGGCGATGCCAGGACCATGAGCCCTCGCCGGAGTAGTGAGGAAATCGAGAAGATGGGCCAGGACGCTCGCCAGGCTTTGATAGAGTGAGTTGACCGCCTTTGTCCCTCTCCCCCTCTCCCTCTCTCCCTCTCTCCACCATCCACGCCCACGCTCGTTGCCCGTCTCATGAATCTTGTCGCTGCGTCGACCGTCAACGACGCTCTGCCCGACACAATGGGTCGCGCGGCTGTCGCGTCTTGGGAGCTGGGGAGCGAGCTCGCTGCCCGCCTGCCCGCCTGCCACCCTCTTGCTGCCTGCATCAAGCTAACCCGTTTTCGCCAGACAAGCCAAAGCGCTCCAAGCTAGCCTTATGGAAATCGTTGACCGCGTCGAAGTCGTCAAGAACGAACACGAGAAGCTCGAGGGCGGCAATAGGTTTCTGCAGTCGTACGTGCACTCGTGGCCCATGATGGTGAACATGTCTCTGACTCATCCCAGATATATCGGCGAGCTCATGCAAACAAGCAAGCTCACGTCGGCCGGCGCTGGCAAGTCGACAAAGGTCAAGGGCAAAGGCAAAAGCATCAAATAACAATCAACACTCGCTCCTTCTTTGACAGGCCCTGCCAGCCTCTACCGTGTCGGCCTTGGACCCAATCCCCGACTCATCATGGACACGACGCGCCTATCGAATTCTCACTACCACGCAATCATGATGGTCTACTGCCTTACCTACTGACCATGGCCACCCACACACACGGCATCCTTCCAAATCCACGACACACCAATGTTGACCGCGTTTACGAGCATCTGCATAGCGGTACAGGACTGGGAAATCGACGTTCATCATCGTTCCACTTTTCGATTCAGCACACAGCTTCTGTCTTACCACGTTGCGACAAACATTTCGACTCGGCTTTTGCTTGGCTCGGTGCTTGTCGCTAAATTTGATTTTGCGAATATACCACGGCACAATTTCGCCACCCCACACTACTCATATTCGGTGTTACATTGTTTGGCCGACGCTTTTTGCCTCTACCCATATATTTTTCTTTCTTTTTTTCTGGGGGTCATGACGATTTACGGTGTTTCCGGAGTTGATCCATACCTGGGTTCTACATACTGCAGATGGCATATCGTGTATGATACGCACATCTTAGTTTTTTTTTCTGCTTGTTTTTTGGTTTGCTTTGGAGCTGCGACGGAAGAAAGAAAGGCTATTTTGATGATCATAGGATGTGTAGGACGCGACATTTTTCGAACCCCCTCATCAGATTCAGTTGGCGTCATTCAAGGGCTGGCAAAAAAGCCGAGAGAAAAAAAAACATGAGAAATAAGCAAGCGCACATGTGCACAATTGCAACAAAGCACGACATATCGCATTTGCACAAATTGCCATGAGTGAGAATGATGGGTGTGTGGGTGTACGTACACCAGTGATAGCAGAGAGCAGTCCTCCCCCCTTGGGAGGCACACCATACGATCAGGCCCCAACGTTTAAGATTGCGACATAGGAACGATCGCGATGGTTCCTTTGACTCCAACACCAGCTCCCTTTCCCCCCCCCTTCCAAGCGCCACCGAGGGATGGGAGGGGGGGGCGGGCAGGCGGGCAGGCGGGCAAGGCCAGTAGACCCGCGCATCCGTCCGTCCAGTCCGTGCAGCCACGGCCAACACCTCAGCCAACACTAAGCTAAGCTCACCTTGGCCCGCCCTGCCACCTAAATAGTTGGAATCCAAAGGCATTAATGCCCAAGCTAGCCGCACACCCCCAATCAGGCCCCAAGAGGCTTTGGAAAGAAAAGGTAAAAAAAGGAAAGGCAAGGTAAAAAAAATTAAAAAAGAGGGGACCAACCTCCTTGCTAACGGGGTAAAGTAAAATATACTGTACAACAGCAGTAGCAATAACGAACAATAACAACGACGCAATGCATAACACGCACACAAACACACACACACACGCGCGCGCCCCCTCACACGTACGCACGTACGCATGCGGGAGAGGAAAAAAAAGAGGGATGCGGTGAGCGTGCTTGGAGTGTATGTAGGGGGGGGGGGCAGACGATGGGTGGTGTGCTGCGGTACGGGTACGGTACGGTGCGGCATAAGATGGGTGGATGAGTGTGCGATTCATTTTCCATTCCGCCATCTTTTTGCATGCATGGGAATCGTCCAAGTTGTCGTCATGTGATGGCTGTCCCCCAGCTACTTGGAGGTTTTTTGTATGTGTAGGTGGGGAAGGCATGACTTGGTATATGAAAATGTATGTGATACCTTCACTGGCTCATAACCAAATAACTAACAGCCTTGTTGTATATACATGCCTATACATGTATACAACAAACTCTCCATCCAACTATCCCCCCTCGCCCTCCTCGCCTGTCCTTCCTCCAAGTACCTACCCCCCAGGAGCGGAACCCCCAAAATAAGTCCAAGCATGGGTCTATGGCATTGGCATTGAACAACGTCCCTCCATATCCACACATACATACCCAAGTGTACAGACAGGGAGACAGGGAGGCGGGATGAGGTAAGATGGGGTGAGATGAGATGAGGTGAGAGTGACAATAAAGGATATGCCCAAGTAATGTTTCGTTTCATCTTTTGGAAATGAGCATCGAATGCACACATGGGCTGTGGCTTGTCGCGGCGTGTATACCGCCCCTCCATCTATGTAAGTATGCCTGCTAGTGCGTCATGTGCGGAGAAACAAACCAAACAATAGAAATATCGACCTCATCAATTTACGTACACAGCAATGCTATCAAAATGCCAATCAGTACCCTATCCCACCTCTACTTACTAGCATCTCAGTACGCGCGTTGCAAACACGCCCTGTTGATGCTGTTGTGTGAGCATCAGAAACATCGTGGCATGCTACCCTGCTAGTAGCTGGATCGAAACGGGACCTTCACTATGTACTTGGTTCAATTGGCCCGGATGACTATTCCCTGGCCTCGCCGAAGATACACGTACTTATCTGGTTTCCCTGGCTCGTGTTACGGGGATGGAATGTTGGCGGTACGTGTACAGACACATGGATGAGTAGCGGGCAGAATGGGTCGAGGGCAAATCAGTATATGCTTCTCGCGCTTGTGGTAAAAGAAAGGCAGTGTAATGCTTCTGATGCGTTGGATAAGCGGGTACGATGATTGTTGCATGTCTCACAGGGTAGTAGACAGGACATGATGTGATAATCACTGGAAACCAGATGGACCCGTATATCCATGTGTATAGTCACCGCCGTCGAGATACAACTAGTTCACCAAACCAAGACACAAACGGTACGCATAGACAAGAAGAGGAACAAAAAAAAAGCACGACAAAGTCATACACAATGCATACCCAAACCACGCAGCCAAGCCGCGGAAGCATGCGGGAAATTTGCACCCAAGACGACAGAAAGCTTGTTATTCCAAGAAACTTTGTGTCTGAGAAGAAGGGGGGCGGAGAGGGAAGGGAAGGGTGGTAAGAGAAAAAAAAGAAGAAGAAAAAAACAGCGAGCTGAATCAGAAGGTGAAAGGAACAAAAAGAACCCACTCATACCTGGCACTGTAAATCTAGACGTACTGGTACATTTCTTTCTTGTCTCCTTCCCTTGTCCGGATTGTTAATTCCAACTTGGATCATCTTCCTGCAATGCATGTATGTAAGTGTAGATGTAGATATAAGTAGGAACAAGAAAGTAATTCTATCCCTTCCATTCCCCATTCCCTCATTTTCTCCCTCCCTCTATCTCTCCCTCTCTCTCTCTCTCTCTCTGTCTGTCTCTCTTCTCTTCTCCTTGATATACCCACCCGCCCACCCCCTCTCCTCCCAGAGTCCGCCCCAGACCACAGCCCGAAGAGACCAAAAAAAGAAAAGCATTAAAAATAGAACTCAAGTAAGTAGTAGAATAACACCCGCATAACTATATAGACTCCACATATATATATATCACGCCCACTCGATAATAACAACCCCGACATCATCCACACACACACACATAAGTACGTACAAAATCACACCAGTGCATGTGCGACGAGCCCGACACAGCGGAGGAGAATACGAGACGGTATGATTTGCGAGGCCAAGTTTGCCGGGTTATTTCGCGGGACGGGGGGGGGTATTAAGGTGGGCGGGCGGGCTTGCGCGCACATGTGCAGGGATGGTGGGGGGGTTAACGAGCGAGGGTGGGTGGGTGAGCGGAACCAAAGCAAAAGACAAGGGGGAGGCGTCGTCCGCCATCCGCTTCCACGGGTATTTCTTAGTACACCTAGTGGCGCTTGAGCTTGTCTTCGAGAAACGCCAAGCGAAGATGGGGTTAGGACTTGGGGCTAAGGGACGAGTAGTGTGTGTGTGTGTGAGTGTGTGTGGTGTGGGAGGGTGAAGGTTTCTGGTTGCTTGTGTCCTTGGTGGTTACAATATTTTCTTGTTGTTGTTGTTGTTGTTGTTTTCTTTACTTCCGTACCAATGAGACGCCGTGTGTTCATGTACGTCTTCCATGGGGCTTTCTTGGGTTGTGTCCCGTCATCATGGTCATTCGGCGTCCTGACTCTCTTTTTCTCTCCAAAGGGAATGCGATCCGGAGACCGCCATCAACGGTAGATGCAAATCGATACATCTTATCTGGTATCGAGCGGTGCCATTGGCTTGCGGGACGGGACGCCGAACGAATACCATGGTGGCTGTCCATGTGTCAGGTATGCGTGGGATTGCTAATAGATGCTTGGCACGGGTCTACGGATACGAGGACTACATCTGTAGAAGCCTTGCGTAAGGGATTGAAGATAAAGACTTGAACTTGGGGTTTATTGGGGGGATAGTCTTGGTCAATACTTTGTCTCACCACATGCGTGTTGGTGTACTCTTGGAATACATTGTGACACTGCCTCTTCTCAGATGCTTCGACCTCACATGACCCATGGTGCAAATGCTCTTCAAGGCTGTTTTTTTAGAATACACAGTCATACGCATTTTCATCTGCCAGTGGATAGAAAGGTGTCGAGACTGAGAACTGGTTATTGCAACCATAAGATCCGCTGTTTCGATAACATAGCAGGATAAACTATACACCACAGCCAAGCTTGATCCATCCAATCAACGCGTAGCTCCGTCGTCCGGTACGCTATTTGATCAGCTGATCCACATTGCGACAGAAGCAATAGGAAATCTTACTTGGCCCACGTTTTTGTGTTACGTAGTTGTCTTTGAGTACCATAGTTTCTGACGACTGGGTACCAAACTAATCTTGTCAATTGCACCAGGGTGATGGTATCAGTGTATTTGCGACGGATCTTCAAGCTAGAGATGTCAGCCAGTGCTAGTAGGATATGTGAGAGTTTAAGAATAAAACAAGGAAGTAGAGAACAAGATTACAAAAGAAATGACTAGAGAAGGCTCGATACAATCTGTATACAGCCATGCGTCATGTCGGACGTCAAGCACACACATCACCAAGACCATGATGACTGCTTTACTAACCTTTCGCTATAAATCTGCTCGATTTGACGACTGTCATGCAAAGTGAACCGCTTTGTGAAACCCGCTGCGTCAGCTCACCAGAATCATTCACGACCCAAATAGAAATGAAAAGTAAAAGTAGACTGCTACCAAACAAGAAAGACTCGTGTGCGGGCTCTAGCGCATACCATACGCACTGGAGAACAATCTTGTTGCTGATTTTTCCAGTTAATGCTACTTTGTACATGTCTATATCTTAATAGGGCAGTCCCATGTACTCGAAGTACTCACTATACTCTTGCTGTGCTCAAGTAACGATACAGATATCAACCATCCCTACTTCATCTTCAAAACATCCGCCCACGCTTCAGGGATGACCTTCCCTCCTGCATAGCCCTCGTGCAGCCACTTCTCGCCATCATGTCCAAACTCAATCAGCGCATCCTCGCTGCCCCATTCACCCTGTCCACTCATGCCAACCGGCACTTTGCCTTTACCCTTGACACCGTCCACATATCCCATTGGGAACTGTATACATGGGATACCGGTAAAGTTTGCAAGCCACACGTACTCCATGTTTCTAATCTGCATGTTCGCATTCGTCACACCATGCGATAGTTCCGCCTCGTCAATAGGCCACCCCGCATTTGGCGTGGTAGGCGTAACGATAACGAGACCGGGGTACTTTGTAAACAAATCTGCGAGATGCTGCATAAGAAGATGTCTAAGGCGCTGGGCAAGCAAAAAGTCTGTAGCGGGTGTCTGGCGCCCGACAGTCATGAGAACGCGGTTAGGAGGCGTAAGACTGTAAATCGACTGCTTGAAGCCTGCAACGCCTTCCGCCATGATGGTCATGGCGTGTGCGAGTTGGCCTTCTGTTAGTAGTGGGATACTGATGTCGACGACTTGGTATCCCAGCTCGGTTTCAAAGTAACGTAGTGCAGATTGAAACGCTTCTTGGACGGGCGCATCTGCTCGGTCAACCCATGCCTTGTGTACGCCGAGGACCTTGCTACGGGGTCCCGTATGTTTCTTGGGTGGAGCAAACAGCGACGCAGGGTAGTTTGAAGGGTCTGGCTGCGCGAGGACGCGGTATGCGATTTCGAGATCGCACATGTTGCTTGCGAGGGGCCCGCGGACCGTCACAGATTTACCAGCATTTGGCATTGGCGCAATGGACACGCGCGCATGTGAGGTCTTGAGACCGTACAGGCCGCAGTAGTTGCTGGGAATTCGGACTGAGCCACCACCATCAGAGCCAATGGCAAATGGAATGAGACCGTGGCCTACGGCAGACGCGGCGCCTCCTGAGGAGCCACCTGGATAGTAGGAATTGTTGTATGGGTTCAGCGGCGTGCCCCAGTTGGGGTTATTGTTTGTTGTATCTGGGTTTACTCTTAGCAAGTTGCTAGTATCACGACCGAATCATCTGCTCTTACCCATGCCTAGTTCGTGCATCGTGAGTGTCCCAACCATGATGGCGCCCTCTTTTTCCACCACCTCTGCGCACCAACTTGTAACCGTGCTGCCGCCATGGCTAAAGTCGTGCGTCGTGCCAATGTAGTGCTTGTAGCCCTTGACGCGCAGATCGTCCTTGACGCCAAATGGGACGCCGTCGAGTATACCCAGCGGTTTCCCCTCCTTGTATCGCTGCGTCGAGGCCTCGGCTGCTTGCCTTACAAGCTCGACCTTGGTCTCCATAAATGCTGTTGCATACGGCGAGCGCGGCGTGACATCTCTGCGGATGAGCGGCAGCAACTGCTCTACTACGTCCAGCGGTGTTATTGCGCCACTCAAGTACGCATAGTGGTAGTCTTTGATTGAGTAGAAGCGGCTGGACGAGGCGTGGTCAAGCGGTGCGCGAAGGCTCGCCTGGTCTGTATAACTCGCTGGAGCCTCGTCACCGGGCTGGGCCAGCGGCACTACGGTGGGATCGAAACGCGATTCGACGCCGTTGAGCTGGTCGCATCGTCGCAGGGAACCGAAGCCGGCGTTACTCCACAGCAACCCTGGGATTACAGGTACACTCGCAAACCTGGACGAATCAGCGGTTGCATGCAGGATTGAGGCGCAGCAGAAGCTCACAGGGTCGAGAGATGGTTCAGCAGCGCGCCCTTGACCACGGGGTTGTTTCCGGGAGGCGGGGCTTGGTACGGCGCGTCGTGAGGTTTAGGGGTCGGATAATTGAAGAAGCGCAGGGTCGGTTGCTGGCTTTCGGACATGTTGGCTACGTATAGGACCAGTCGCAAGAGGTGATGGAGGAGCACACAAAAAAAGCAGTTGGGAAGCAGTCTGGGCACTTGCAAAAGCTCCTGCCTGTGGATTACAAGCCTAGGAATGCTTCGAGCGAACACGTTTGTTTTCACATGCTTACTAGACGCCAGTCGGCCTTCTTGAGCACCACGATAAGCACCAATGCACAGCATGGCCCGCACAATTGACAGAGCAGAAGACACTCCTCGTTTACGGCTACTAATCTACCATGTCTGGTACAAAAGCTATTCCAGAGCTTTTGCCTTCCCACCTCAGCTCGCACTGGCACCCAAGTACAAAATACCGCCACCGCATGTGTCCCTGAAGCGCACTATCCTCCCAACACTTATTCTCAATTCATGACCAGAGTGACAATTCATCCTTCAGACATCCGTAGAGTCAGTACCGACGCTGCGTTGCCGCCACGTCAGCATAGGGGTGGCTTGCTCTCCTTATTCGTTCGGAGTCGGCCGTGGTTATCTATTTCTTGCCAGCGACCTCGTCTCCCATGCGGTTGTACTCCTTCTGCATGTTCTCGACCTGCTTCTTCAGGTTCTCCATGTCACGGTCCTTGGCCTCGAGCTCCTTCCTGAGAGCGCCAACCTCGCCAGCGCCGCCGGCGTTCTTCAGAGAAGAGTTCTTGCCGCTGGAACCACCCTTGAGGTTCTTGACCTCCTCCTCGAGACGGAGAACATCGAGGATCATGACGTAGGTACGGTTGAGGATCAGCGACAGGAAGAGAGTGAAGCCACAGAGGTACATGTTGCGCTGCGAGTAGAACTTGCGGGCCTGGACCTCCATGCGTTCAATACCCCCAGCAGCGACGCTTCTTCACGTGTTAGTCTCGGAATACAGCGGATGCGTTTATTAACTTACCCTGAGCGGCCCTGGTCGTCCGAGCCGGAAAGCTCGATTTGTACGCGGTAGACGCGGTTGACACTGTCAATGAACAGTATCAGGATGAAGATGAACGTTATCTAGGCCTGTTAGATGCAGCTTGTACCAGGCTGCCACTCTCCATACCTTCATGCCATATTGTAATTTTGCTATTATCGGGCTCTCCGAGATAAAGGTGAAGAGCCTGCGGCGCCATGTGAATGGCAGAGGGACGATGAGGGCGCAGAAGATGAGCATCTCCGTCACCAAGAGGAGGAAGACCTAGAATCAGAAAAGGTCAGCATCGTGCCACTTGTTGCCTTGACATGCAGCGTGAGAGAAGCACGCGAGCGGTGGACATTCGACCAGCAACACTACAATCTCCCAGGAGATGGCATGTTCTAACATAGATGGCCACTCACCAGGCTGTAGTAGAGAGTCATGTTGACGATGGGCAATATTCACACGACGCGAGCTGGAGTTTGTGTGTGAGGGGCGGGGTTGAGCAAAAACAACAATGGATACAAGAAGAGCTGACTGGCAGACAGACGGAGTAGCCGGCAGGGAGCTGATGATGGTGTGGAGGATCTGAGGAGGTTGCAGGAGAGGGGATGTGAAAGTGGGAACCGGGAACGCGATCTGATGAGGGAGCCGCGAGGTGCCTAGTTGTGAAGCTCTACGTCACAGTCCCGGCCGGCTCATTAGCGCATGGGCCGCCCGGCTAGCCTCTTGTGGCTGCATTTGCACTCATATTTTGAGCAGTGCTTTTCTCGATTGAGCGGCGACGCCAGCAACACGCGCACAGCAAGAGCTTGCTTCTCGTTGTGCCGCATAGAATGACTGCAAGTGAAGGTAACGCGGCCGAGTCTGGCCACCAGCCCGCCGACGGTAGTGTCGCATCGAATTCCAACGCCGCAAATGGTGGCAATGCTATGGTCGATGTGAAGTCCGACGCACCCTCGAGTCCAAAGAAGAGAGCCAGAACAAGCAGTGAGGGCCTCGACGGTGCTGCTGCTGATACTTCTGTCAAGCGAGTCAAGGGCGTGGCGCCCATCAAGGCAGAGTACGCTGCATTACCTGCGTAGAGAGGCTCACGTGCTAAGAACACCAGATTTTTGATACATCACAACGGCAACCACGACGACGCAAGAGGGCCGGCCGTGGACGACGACGCGGCCGAGGCAGCCGATGCGGACCGCAAGTCTGGAGGCCTGCCCAAGACTGATGCTCGTGATGCCCCCAGAGGCAAGGGCAAGAGCAAAAAAGAAAAGAAACAAAAAGGCCAAAACACCAGCCGCACTTTTGGAAGCTCTCGTGACAAGATACCACTCTGTGGCACTCGCGCAACTTTCAACGAATTCTCGCCCAAGGAATGTCCATATGGCGAAAAGTGCAAGTTCGAGCACGGTCTTCGCAAGTACCTCAAGGATGGCCGACGGGAGGACCTGACCACTTTTGGTGGCCAGTGCCCAATCTTCCAAGTCAAGGGCTTCTGCCATTTTGGCTGGAAGTGCCGCTTCGTTGGAAGCCACTCGGAAGAGCGCACCACGGAAGATGGCAGGAAAGAGCTGGTCCTGAAAGAAAATGCCGAACTCAAAGCAACAGTTACGGGAGATGACGACGAGGCCGAGGCCGAAGTGGTCAACATCGTGCCCAAGGAAGTCAAGTTTGGTCTATCGAGACGGAAGATTGGCACTCCACGGTCTGACCAGTATCTACAATGGATTGAGAGCAACAGCCGGAGCGAACGAGACATGTTTGATACTGCTCAGATGGACCCGGAGATTCTCAAAGAGGAAAAAGAAGCGCGTAGGGCAGAGTATGTCGAGGCGCCTTTTAGACCGTCTGAGAAGCGAAGACTGTACTATGGGCCCGAGACGCCCGTGCTCGCACCTCTTACCACCCAGGGCAACCTTCCCTACCGGCGACTTTGCATCGACTTTGGCTGCCAAGTAACATGGAGCGAGATGGCCATGGGCATGCCTCTGATCCAAGGTGACAAGGGTGAATGGGCACTCATGAAAGCCCACGAGTCGGAAATCACTCCACCGAAATTCCTATCAAAGAACACAATTGTGCAGGGCTACGACAATTCTACCGACATGAAGTTTGGCGCGCAGATTGCCGCAAACAAGCCATGGCTGGCTACAAAGACGGTCGAAGTGTTGACGGATCACTGCCCCAAGCTGCGCGCCATTGACCTCAACTGCGGATGTCCAATCAATCTCGTCTGCGAAAAGGGAAGTGGCTCTGCACTACTGGACAGCGAGGCCAAACTGGAGCACATCCTGCGTGGCATGAGCTACGTCTCCAAAGAAGTTCCCATCACCGTCAAGATCCGCATGGGGACAAAAGACAACCACCCGACCGCACAAAAACTTATCAAGCGACTCGTGCTAGGCGGCCACGAAGCCGTTGAATCCGGAAAAGGCACATCGGGCGTTGCAGCCATCACCCTCCACGGGCGAAGCAAGCAGCAACGGTACACTCGCAGCGCAGACTGGTCGTACATTGCGGAGTGCTCCGCGCTCATCAACCGGCTCCGCAAGGAACAAGACGCCCAAACCGACACCGTCCGCGAGGCCGATGCCCGCGACCTCGCAAACGGCGGCCACGTCTACTTTGTCGGCAACGGCGACTGCTACTCGCACGAAGACTACTACCAGCACCTCAACAACGCCAAAGTCGACACCGTCATGGCCGGCCGCGGCGCCCTCATCAAGCCCTGGCTCTTCGAAGAAATCGAAAAGGGCCAGTACCTCGACAAGTCTGCCACCGAGCGCCTCTCGTACATTGAAAAGTTCACAAAATACGGCTTGCAGACGTGGGGCTCCGACGAAATGGGTATTGGCACCACGCGTCGTTTCCTGCTTGAATGGCTGAGCTTTGCGCATCGCTATGTTCCGATTGGGCTGCTGGAGCATTTGCCGCCGAATATTCAGGACCGGCCCCCGAGGTTTAGGGGACGAAATGAGCTCGAGACTTTGATGGCGAGTGAGCATTATAAGGACTGGATTAAGCTGAGGTATGTTGTTGACGTAATCCACTGCGATAGCGACAGTATCGATACTAATAATGTACTCTTAGTGAAATGTTCCTTGGCCCTGCCCACGAGAACTTCAAGTTTGAACCCAAGCATAAATCCAACGCTTATGAGATGGAAGCCGAGGGATAGGAAGATGGCATGGCGCAACAGTTTGTTTGATGACTGTGTCAATATGTGGGGTATGCGAACAGAAAGAGTAGATTTGAAGTGTGTTTGTACATACCATAAGTTGGCGAGAAGAGTAGCTCTTTAGAGGAGTTGAGCATGATTTTTGCATCATTTCCTAGCATCTAGAGTATACATACTATCCAAGAACTAGCGCGCCGTGATTCGACGAAGTCCACATGCAATGAAATCTCGCACGCCCTTCGTTTTGTTTCTACATGTCGCCCACCACGGTTAATCCAAGAACCCCACGAGCGTCTCCAGCATTTCTCTCTCAGCCCTCTCGACCGCAAGCACCCCATCCAACTGCGCCTGCAACGTAGCCTTGACATCGCCTAGCCCTTCATCCCTCTCCTTCAACCTTTCTATAATCGCCTTCTTAGCGCCCTCATCCTCAGCCACCAACCACGCTAAAATCGCATCCACACGCTCCAAGCAATACAGCCCCTCACTCAACCTCTCAGTGATATTCTCCATCTCCCAAGCCTCCAGCTCGTCCTTCGACAACCCCTTTTTCCTCTCCTTGCTCCGTGCATCAAACGCCGCGAGACGCGCAACATAATCTCTCCGGAGCGCAACGAGCTTTGTGATCTTTTCGTAGTCTTTCTCGAGGAACTTTGCTAGTAGACGGAAGCGCGAGTCGGAGTTTCCGGGTAGCGAGCGCAGCAGTGACGCAAATATACCCAGGATATGTTCGGTTTGCTGGGGATCCGACTTTTTGGATTTGATAAAGGTGGAAAAGAGAGGTTTGAGGCCGCGGGCTTCGACTACTTTATCGCAGACGACCATGGCGCTGTTGGAGAATAGAGGTGCTTCTTGATCTTGGCTGGCGGCCGCTTTGCCTTTACCGCTGTCGCTGGCTTGTTGCGACGAGTCTGTTGTTTCTTCCGCATAGCCGCAGGCGTGGTCCAGCACTTTCAAAGCCCGGCTTTTGCTTGTTTTGCCGTCGCGGACGAAGAGGAGACAAAGCTCTACTCCTTCTGCTTCTAAGAATTTGGCTTTTCCGAGTGGCTCTTCTGTTACTGAACATAGACAGTTGAAGAGGTTCTCCATGTATTCCTCCTCGTTGCTGTCCTTTTCCGGGTCGTCTCTTCGGTACGGCGCCAGGTTTGTGAGGAATGTCTCGACGCCGTTGGCTTCGGCTACATGGTTCCGGTTCGGTCGGGAGGATTGTGTGAGGATGGAGAGGATCTCGGAGGCGTACTGCTTGTTCTGTGATGTTGATTTCTCGGGCTTCTGGATTCGGTCCAGGAGCCATTTTAGTAGTGTGGTTTCTCTCCCTATTATGTCCGTGTTTGCGGGCTGTGACAGTAAATTCTCAAGCACCTTCGAGGAGTTGTATACGCCTGATGCATCTGCCTCGTCGGTTTCATCGAAGCGCGAGAAGTTGGATATGAGCAGACTGAGCAGGTCTGCCTCCATGAATGCCACCACCAGCGCATCCCATTGCTCCTGCTCTCCTCCCACATCCTCGTCTGTGAGCTCTGATATCATCTCAATCGCGGCGATTGCTATGTCCGTGTTCTCGTGCGCCAGCAGTTCTACCAGCTTCGAGGCCGCTGTGCTCTTTGCGAATTCCTCGTACAACTCCGGGTGCTCCGACAGTATGCTCAGCGCCTTGATTCCCTCATCCAAATCGGCTTCCGAATCCATAAATTTTGTTGGGTCGTCTTCGTACTTTGCGCGCAGCGACGCATTCTTGTTGACCTTTTTCTCAAAGTTGAGCGCCAGCTTGCGCACCCACGGAATGTCATACTTTTCTTCCTGTATCGCCTCGTCGCTATCCTGCGCGTCTATGTATTCCATGGCATCTCGCGCATTCTCATCCAAGCCATCGCCAAAGAACCGTCCTTCGTCATCGTCGCCCGGCCCGTCGTCGAAGTCTGGTGGTAATGAGGGGCCCGCCTCCTCATCGTCGTCTTCGTCAACTACCGAAGCCTGTGCTGTGCCCTTGACGTCGCCATTTCCGTTCAGCTTTGCGGATTTGTAGGATTGCGTTGGATCGGCCTCGTTTGGGTTCTCGAACTTGCGCTTCGCGGAGCCGTTTGCGCTTTTGAAAAGCTCGTCAATGCTCGTCATGTTATCGGCGATTCACGCGAAAACAAAGTAACAAAGACACGGTGAAGGGGAATTGGTGATGTAGGCGCGTTCTGATGGACCTGTCGAACCTGAGAGTCGACACGGTCCCAGCTTGGTACTACAGTGCCCGTGCACCAGATGAGCACCATCGCCAGTTGAGCACCCCCAACAACTCA